ACGTCAAACAAGTACGTGTGACCAAAAAAATTAAACTCATTTGCCACGTTCCATTAGGATTCCTCTATCCCCCACACCTCCGGCCCCACCGTCATGGAAACGCCAGCGAAAAAATGAATGACAAAAGGAAATCACTGCCTGAAGGTTGAAATAAAATCCTGATCAACAATTTGGTGAAAAAGAACCGAGAACAATACCGTGGGAAATTCGATTGGCCCAATGTCATTTTGCATCCCTTTTTGTGGTGACTCACTCCGTCGCATCTCCGCAAACAAAAAGTGGTTGTCAATCCTCCCCGCTCGTTTTTCTCTTTCTTTTTTTTCTTTTCATTTTCTTCCACCCATCTCTTTAATGTTTTCTTCTCGTTTGTTGCGCCGTTCCTTCATTGCATCTGCTAAAAGATACAATTCCTCCATTGCCGGCCTTGATGTAAAGCTGTGCTCCGAAAAAAAACTATGGACCGTGACATCTTGCTGACTTTTTTTTTCTTTTTTCTTGTCAAGGCTTCCAAAGTCAAGGTGACCAAGTCGGATATCTTGAAGCCTTTGGTGGCTAACAAAGACTTGGTCTTTGGTCATACCTTCACCGACCACATGTAAGTGTTTGCTGTCACCAAAAAATCGTGGTTTCATTCGTTTTGCTTCGCGCTGATGTCTTCGTTTTGTATGATAGGATTTCTGCTGATTGGAATGAAAAAGAAGGCTGGATGGCTCCTGAAATAAAACCCTATGGCAGTTTGGCGTTGGCTCCTAGTGCTGTGGTGTTCCATTATGCTTCCGAGGTTAGGAAAAAAAAAAAAAAAAAACGGAGTAAGGAGGTGCCTTTTTTTTTGGTCACTGACAAGCCCTTCTCGATTTTCTTTTCCTAGTGCTTTGAAGGTTTGAAGGCTTACAAGGACAAAAAGGGAAATGTCCGCTTGTTCCGTCCTGATATGAACATGGCCCGTATGAATCGTTCCACTGCCCGTATTGCTTTGCCCGTAAGAAAGGAAAAAAAAAAAATGAAAGGCTCAGCTCATTTTTTTTTTTTCATTTTTAGCAATTTGATGGCAAGGAACTGATCAAGTTAATTGGTGACTATATCAAGTTGGATGAGCGCTGGATCCCTAGCGAACGTGGCTATTCCCTGTATTTGCGTCCCACTATGATCGGTACCCAAGAAGCTTTGGGCGTCAACCCTCCCTCAAACGCCAAGCTGTTTGTCATTGGTTGCCCTGTGGGTCCTTATTACAAGACTGGTTTTGCTGCCGTCAAATTGAAGGCTACCACTGAATTTGTGCGAGCTTGGCCCCGTGGTACCGGCGATGCTAAGATCGGTGGCAACTATGCTCCTGGTCTGCTGCCTCAACGTCTGGCTGCCAAGGAAGGCTACCAACAAAACTTGTGGCTGTTTGGTGGTAAGTGCCAACGAGAGCACCACAGAAAAAAATGAGACAAGCGACTCACATTTTTTCCCCTAGACGAACATCAATTGACGGAAGTGGGAACCATGAACTTGTTTGTGTTGTGGAAGAACGAAAGCAACGAATTAGAATTGGTGACCCCTCCTTTGGATGGCTCCATCTTGCCTGGTGTGACGCGCGACTCGATCCTGTCGCTCGCTAAGCAATGGGGCGAATTCAAGGTGTCAGAACGCAAGCTCACCATGCCTCAATTGAAGGAAGCGGTCAAGTCTGGCCGTGTGCAAGAGATGTTCGGTGCCGGCACCGCTTGTATTGTTAGCCCTATCAAGGCCATCGAATACCTCGGCGAAGAACTGGCCATTCCTTTGGACCCCTCCAACCCCGAATCGCAAGCTGGCCCCTATACCAAGCGATTCAATGATGCTATCATGGATATCCAATACGGTGATGTCGAAAGCCCCTGGTCCGTGGTTGTGTAAAATAAATGAAAGAAGCCTGGCTAGCAAGGTTTTTTTTCCGATAACTTTCTACTCGACAGACCTACGCTCTTCACCAAGGAAAACTCGGAGAGGTTGGTTTTTTGAGCCAAGAAAGAGGTCCCCTGAGAAAAACGGGAAAAATGGAAAAAATGGCGCTTGTTTAGCGGAGGGATCGGAGGCAGCACAAAGGAACGAGTGTCAAATTGACTGGGAGACTTCCACTGATGGATTTGATTTTGTATAAATTTAACGTCGCTCTCTCCAGCCAAAAACCCTGTGTTTTTTCCCAAGAAGAAAAAAAGGTCCGACACTGTCGTGGCTTTTGTTTTAGCCGCTGCTGCTAGATACTGCGAAAAGCCATGACCTGCACCTACTTGTTCAACAGGGGAAAATAGTATAATACTGTATAATAATGTCACCACGGGAAGCTCATACATTCCTGGGCCGGGACAGTCGATAAAAAAATGGGATCTTCCATGATTATCACCGCGTCGTCACTGGTGTGTTGCGGACGTGCGGGGTTGTCATTTTTGGTCACAACGTCTTCCCCCAGCCGCCACGAATAGATGTGGATAAACATACGCATGCCTTCCCCACCTCACATTTTGGATGTTTTTCAATAACATTCGTTTATCCAATGGGCGCGCTCAATGGCGAACACAAAAAAAAACAAAAAAAAGCCACTCGCTCCTTCTTTTTACTTTTTCTTTACCTAACGCGTAGGTGGCTCCTGCTACGGCAATTGGCAAAAAGAGAGATCTTGATCAAACAGCAGCACCTTCACCCCAAAGAGATGGCAATGACACCCACGTGGTTGTGTACTTTCTTTGGTGCTGCTCGTATGATTCAGCATATTAAAGATCTTCACACCATGGCTTGCCCAAAATAGAAAAAAAAAAAAAAGTGCGTGCGTCACCCTCCTTCATGGCGAACCTGATTGTGCTTAGCTTTGTCATTCTTGCATCGATGACCGCCATCCCCAGGGTAAATGCCTTTTACCCTTGGTGACCACCCCAAGTCCCTCAACCAGGAAAGCTACAAGCTCCTCCATTGCATCTCCCGCGGCGGCCGCCCCACGGACTCTGTCCAAATCTCCACCTTCCCCCACGCCGGCGGAAAACGCAATGTCACTGTCAAGACCGCTAACATCATGGTTGATACCTTCTTCGGAGGCTGCAAGCCCTTCCATATCCTAAGCTTTGTTGATGGCAACCATCTCAACCTCCATCTTGACAACCTGGTGTACCAGCATTCTTACCTGCACTACTTTGGCACCTCATGCGTTTGTCGGCCCAAGACCTGATGGCATGGTCGTTGAACATATCAACGCCATCAAAACCGACAACCGGGTAGCCAACTTGCGTTATCTCACACCCCAGGAGACGCAAGTTTGGTTTTCCCACCAACGCTTCCTTTCCATCAATCGCGTTGCATTTTCCGACCTTGTCAACGTTGACGACGATGACGACGACGTCATTGAAGATGAAGATGTTTTGCCTCCCGCCTCTGACGCTGTCGATCATGAAAACCCAAGCCAGTTGCTCGACGACCCTAACGCCGTCATCTGCTGCTGGCAAACAGTCGGCAATTACTGCAACTCCCTTTGGTTCTCCGACTATGAAACGTCCAACCTAGGCCATGTCAAGCGCATCTCTACGGGTCACATACTTGCCCAATCAACTAATATTGCTGGCTACAAGGCGGTGAGAATGCAAGCTGATGGAGGGAATTGGTACAACATTCGTGTACACCGTGCCGTATGTTGGGCGTTCAAGGCAGATGACTTTTTTGAGGAAGCCGTTGTTGATCACCGGAACTCGAACAAGGCTGATAACAGCAGAGCCAATCTGCAATGGGTGACAACCCAAGAAAACATTGCTTTGGCCATTGGCAAGAGAGCCATCGTCTTTGACGACCAGGGAAACAGTGATGCATTCTTGAGCATGCGCTCTGATTGTGCTGCCCTCTTATGCAGTCATACGTTGCTTAAGACGCATCCGCAGCAGCATGGAATGCTGGTGGTAGACAATTGCGCCATTTTTGGTCACATTTTTATACGGATACACAGATCATATTGGACTAAAACTGGGTCGCTTTACTAAATTTTCATTTATTGATAATATTCCCTCGTCTGAAACTAATTTGCTCTTGTTGTGGCACCAAGATATCTCTTTTTTAATAAATGAAAATATTTCTAATATCATCTTCAATTATTATTACTGGTCTCTTGAATGGCTATGGGACGCGGGAAGCCAAATGAATTTGATTTTACGAAAAAAAAAAAAATGACAGTCAGCGATACAAAAAAGTCAGCGACCTGAGTCTCTTTTTTGTTAATACTCTTTGACAAGAGCAGAGTGTACAGACACAACTCACCCACATTATGATTTTAGGCATGGGCACTGATTTTGATATGGGCCGGCCCACCTAGAAACAGCCTCGGTATACACATTGCACGAAGATGATCCCTCTGTTTGCCTTGGAAGGACATTGACAATGCAGGTCACGTTCCTGATCTGGGTGTCTACAACTTGCAAATGCTAGCCAAAAAAGATGGTGAAGAGGCTTAATTTAGCACTGGATGCTTCCCAATGTGGCACCTGTAGCAAAGACACATGGATAGATTATGTTATCAGAAACTTGCCTGGAATGAATGCAGGACTTTTTTTAATGAAAGACTTTCTAAGCAAACAAACTTTCAAAAAAAAAAAAAAAGAGAGGCGAATGAAGGAAGGGAGGTGTGCGCTTAACGTGAAAAAGACAGTTGAAAAGAAAAGCCAAATGGCGGGGTATGATTATGTTTGGCATGGTCAGACTTCCGTCCGACATATGCCAGTGAAAGTCCGGCGTCATACGGGTGAATACCGTGCGGTCGGCTGTTGTCCGGCACGGTCCGGGTCGGCCATGGCTCAATCCGGCGTGGTCCGGCATAGTCCGACATGATCCGGCACTGTCGGTAATGAATTGTCCTGTTTTGGTTGTTGAAAATCCGGTATGGCCCGACATCGGAGCTTTTTAGCCCGACAATTGTCCGGCATTGTCCGGCACTGTCCGGCATTGTCCGGCGATTTTCGGGCATATTTTCGACATTTTTTACTCGCCGAACCTCGGAAGATATCGAGGGGTTGGCGCAATTGGTAGCGCGCCAGATTCCAGAAATGGGTGTCTCCTGGCGGTTAGCGGTTCAAGTCCGTTATCCCTCATTTTTTGCTCTTTTCTGATTTCATTTTCTTTTGACCGAGACCAATGGCTTTGCCTAGGCCAGGCCACATAGCCGAGGCTTCGCCTTTTTTTTTTTGGTGGTCCCGTTTGTAGCTGGGGAGTGATGTTGGGTGGAAGGGTGAGTTTAAAAAAAGAGAGAGAGGAAGAGGTTGGCAGGAAAAAAAAAAAAAAAAACCAGTTGCAAGCCTGATTGGAATACGTCTTTGCTCTCATCAAGCTCTCCTTTATGTTCCTTGTGTTCAGTTTGGTGTGATTGATCTGATTTGAAACGAGTTTTTTTCATTTTTATTTTTTTTTATAAAGTGCGTCTCGTGGTGAGAGCGATGGATAAATGGAAAAAAAGTGATGATTTTGACACGAGTGACGAGTGCGTGGATGATATTGGTGGTGACGTTTCAAACATTGGCAACAATATTGCTGGTGACGATCTTTTTGATTGTGCCGTCGCTACAATTCTATGGGGGATGCACGTTGACGCTGACAAATCTGGGTTATGCTCAGTGGGATTTGGTGGGCATGGGCCAATTGATGGCCAATTCATTCTGGCTTGGCGTGCTTTGTCTGGACGCTCTCTTTCACGTTCATACCATGGCTTTGTATGCAGTGCTGTTTTTCGGTAAACAGGACAAATCTCGCCACTTTCGGTCCTATCTTTTTTTTTTTTTTTTTTGACAGGCTTTTGGTCGGTGGTGGCCAGCAGTGTGCAAGTGTACCAGCATGACGTGCTGATGCAAGTCTTGGCGAACGACTGCACTTCAAATCCGATGGATGGCGCGGCATCGATGATCGGTTACAGCGTGGCAGGCGTCAGCTTTCTTGGTTGGGTTGGGCTGGTGGTGTTGGCGATCTGTCATCGGCAGCGGTTCCAGGCGCCGTTGAACCCAACGACGAGCGCAAGTGTGCATCTGATCAAGCTTGATTTTTACTGGGTGTTTAGCCATAGCATGGTGTTACTGCCGTTGAACCTTCTGGAGTCGGCCATCACAGCCTATGTGGAAACAGTCTTGTTTTTCAGCCTGGCAATGTTTTTTTTTTTTTCTGGGTGGGCTTTACAGCGCATAGACCCAGTGCGACGGCGAACGGCCCTGGCCCTTCTGGCCACGGTTATCAGCGTGTGCGCTGTTGCCTTTGGTTACGTGGGATACCAGCTGATCCGGTTTGCCATGACCAGCGATTTTGACCATATGCGTTACCGGTTGATGTTTATGTCCTTGACGTTGCTCTTGACGCTGCTTCTCACTGTTAGTGTTCTGATTGCCAGCTTTGTCCTACATTGGAAGAAGCCTGTGGTATTGCTCGACAAGCAAAAAGCACCAAATGACACCGACACTGTCCAGCTGTTTTTGACCCCTACTAACTCTGTGCATGCACAATAAACTTGAATCAATGGCAGCATGGTCTTTTTTTTTTATTTTTTAAAGCATTATTATTTTTGTCATGACTAAAAAAAAAAAAAAAAAAAGTAGAGTGGGGGAAGGGCGGGGAAATGCTTTTTTTTTTCTTCTTTTTAGGAGGGAAAAAGAGAGGGTTTACGAGAGTGTGTCGCCAGAGGCAGATCGAGAAGCGATTTTGGATAGGATCAAGTACACAAAGACAACCAATACGAGCATCCATCGCTTCCATCGAGACAAGGTACGGTTGAGCCTCGAGGGTTCCTGGAGGGCTTGCTGTGGTTGTTCGAGTTGGGTGGGTGATGATTTTCTGGGGTCCTTTTCTTGGACTGGTCGCTTTCGCAAGGTGTCTTCGCTGAGGGTTGTCATCCTATCTGGGGTGCATAGTTCAGGGAAGGCGGCTACATTAGAAAGAGAAAGATGAGTCCATCTTTTCAGTATGGGATAGCTCTCGATGTACTTCTGAATTTGGGCATTTTCACATTGTTGCGATGGGAATGGAGAGCAAACATGCGTTTTTCAGCGTCTGTGGTTCTGATGCTGCCTGTTGTGTTTTCGTCGGTGGTCTATCCGAGCAGATAGATATCAGTCAAAAAGATCATAGAATCAGGTTAGTTTTTTTTTTTTTTTTTTTTTTTACCATAAATGAGAGAAGACCATTGAGAATGGTTGCAACCGACCAGCTTGGATTCCATAAACTGGGATGAAAGTCGCTCATGGTTAGACAGAGTCTTGTGTCGGGCTGAAATCTACCAGATGGGGTGGCCATACGGATGGATGGAGGTTTGTACGGATACTCTGAAGGGAATATCAACCGGCCATAGTACTCGCCGCCTTGGTAGGGGGTATCTGGAGGTCCTTGGATGACATAATGCCTAGATGCAACGTCAATGAGTGCCAGCTACCTTTTTATTTTTTTATGAGCAATCTACTCTTACCATTCAAGAATATTGCTTTCGTTGGGTTTTGCTGAAATGTAAGGAGGTGGGCTGAAGAGAAAAAAGGAAAATAGAGAAGGTAAGCCATGATTTAATGGATAAATGAGCATTTTTACTTCTTCTGGAGCTCCATATACTCCTTTGTCAGACGACGATAAGCCGCTTTCGTGGCCATTGCTTTGTTTTGTTTAAAAAAAAAAAGAGGTGAAAGATTTCAATAGACAAACAGCAAGAACAAAAAGAAAAGGGAGGAAAAAAGTGAAAAACCGCTACAGAAGAGAATAAACTCAGTTACCAATCAAGATTGGTGTTCAACATGCAGCTAAAAGCACCACTGCCCTGGTTAATGCAGTAAACCCATTGCTGCCAATGCAGAACTCGCTGCCACTGTAGGCAAGGCCAACTGAAATGATTAATCTTCTATAGAAACTCATGCTATAGAAAGAAGAGCTGATTGCAATCCATTTTGCCTCGTAAGATCATAAAGTCATGATGGGGTACGGAGGACTGGGCAGAAAGACACGACCAAAGACGCAAATGTTTCTGCTCAGAGTGATCGTGAATTTAGTGATATGACCGCATCTACCTTTTTGACTGGCTGTGCTGTTTCCTCTAGTTTGTCATGGTAGGTCACCTGCCAGCAACTTCGGTTCTAGCACCTACGATTCAAACTCAGCCAATAGGAAATTGGCAAAGGCGACAAGACTTTCGTTGTTCATTTTCGCGGGTAAAGAAAAAGGCAACAGCAAAATGCTTAAAAAAGGAGTAGGTTTTTTTTTTCTTTAAAAAATAGAACCGCCTCGTGTTTCTTTGCGATGGGAAGGTTAGAAAACAGGTGTTGTTGGGTATGATGATTGGGGGCCAGTGGGTCTGTGTGGGGTTCTACATTTCCACGCTTCAATTTTTTTTTTTTTGAACATGTCTTCCTGTGCGAAAAAAGCTTATTTTTCCGCCTTTCCACCTATTTTTTTACACGAGCCCCAAGGTTGTCATGATAGCGAGCAAGTCCCCACAGAAAGGTTGCCGAACAAAGGAGGTGTTGGTGACACAATTTTGATAGAGTTTTTTTTTTTTTTGCCTCATCCTACCTTCATCATTTCCCTTTTTCTTCTCTTTCTCTCTCTCTTTTTTATTATTTTTTTTTTTTTTGGTTTGGGCTTGTCATGGGCATTAAATTTTCCACGAGCTCTAGAAAACGAACGGCCAGAACGAGCAGCACAGAATCGAAGCAGGCTAGTTCTGAAATTTGCAGCACCTCCAGTGTCACAAAAACACCATCAAAAATACAATTTGGTCGAAGTTACCATGATACCAAATCGTCTTATTGGTTTCCCAATGATGACGAAGAAAATGATCGATTGATGGCTGTAAAGAATTTTTTTTATTGTGAAGACTGGGTGGTTTTTTTTTATGTGCAACCTGTCAATGCTTTTATTTTTTTTTTATTTTTATCTTGCGTTATCATTTAGCAACATTTTGCCATCAAAGCACTATGGGGAGGGTAATGAACAAGGTTCCACCGAGATATAGATAGATTGGATTGTATTGATGGCTTTTTTTTTTAATACTATGGCAATAGGAATATCTCACCGTCAATACAAAAATATGTCCCATTAGAAAGAGGTGCCAATGTTCTCGATGGTAAGAGAAATTAGGACCTTTTCAGAGGGACTTTTTTCATCTCCGCCGTCGCATTTGGCCCAAAATGACATTTTTTTGGGAACGTTGCACTAAACCCTATTTCTCTTCACGTTTTTTTTTATCATCTCCCATCAGTTGGATGCGCCAGTGGGACATGGGTACTTGATACAGCGACGGAATTCCCTGCAAGTCATTTTACAGGCATCGATATTACCGACACGTTCCCTACGAGCATCAAACCCAATAACACAGAATTCAAAATTGGCAATCTTCAAGAACGCTTACCGTTTCCCGACAACACCTTTGACCTGATTAATTTACGCTTCTTCATCCTCGCATTAAAATCTGAAGAATGGAACACTGGCTTAGTGGAACTCTTTCGTATCCTTAAGCCTGGTGGTGTATTACAATGCATTGAATGCGGCATGCTGGTCAGTCAGGAAAAAAAAAAAAGATCGACCCACGTTTTTTTGTATATTTTTTTATTCATTATTATTTTTTTTTTATTAGGAAGGAGGCACAGATTTCATGCTCTGGGCTGGGGCAGCGTGTAAGTAGTGGACTCCTTTTGAAAGATCGAAAACAGGCTGAACGATTTTTTGCCTAGTTGAGAAGCTGATATTGAAAGTTGGGCAAGAACCTTGGATCTCATTAAAACTGCCGCAAATCATGTCACAAATCCCAGGTGTGGAAGTGATCGAAAACCGACGAAAACGAATTCCCCTCAACAATGTACAAGACCCGCTAAGTCGTGATTTCCTCTATGATATCATCCAAATCTTCCAGACCGCTCAGCCCTACCTGATCAAGGAATTGGGTATCCCAAGCGAACAATACCCTGCATTTATTCGACAATTAGCTCAAGAATGTCAAAATGACCCACCCGTGAACTGGTCATTTGTCCTCTGTGCTGCTCAAAAGACTTCATCTCAATAAAAAAAAAAGCATCATCAAAGCACGCATTCACTCATCCATTGATCTCCTGCTCACACCTGCTGGTCCTGTCCAAGT